TTATACTCCCGGGAGAAGATTCTGTGCTAAGAACAGAGCGAGGCAGAGATAACACAAAGCACTCTTAACCTCCCTCTACAGCTGCTGGTTTAGCTTAATCCGCGAACACAGAGCGCGTCAGCAACGCAATACAACTCAACCGTACGAGCGTCTCCGGACGATCCGATCACGTACAACAACAAGCGCTGGCACGACCAACCAGCGAGACAACAACACCGACAACGCGTCAACACCCGCTAGCAAGATGGCGGATAACCAAAGCGAAATAAGCTCTGCAGACTCTGCTGAAGCTCAGAATCAACTACAGAATGAGCAATCAGAACACCTCTCAGACTCACCATGGGCCAAATTTACCGCGGAACAACTTATGGAAAACTGTCCATACACAGTTGCACTCAAGGTCATCAATACAGCTCTCTGGGGTGTACCCGCACCGGCGGACGCAAATGAGACACACGCAACAACGTGGGTCGCTAAGGCTATCCACGACTACAATGTGTCAATGGCCTGGGACGATGACCTCTTCATTGACTACAAATGGGACTTTGAAGGATGGACGAAGGAGCTATTTAGCAAGGTTGAGCGTGGTACACTAAGGTCTCTTAAGAGTGTGCTACGACACCGGGGAGTATACACTGGCAACAATCACGCCAGGGTGGCGGACTCTCTCTACAACATTCTAGGTATAGAGAATACTCTTGAATGGGAACCAGCAGAGTTTCGAGCCATGAAATTCGACCAACAGTCCGAAGCGTACCAGCGCCAGCAGAGCAATAGACGCCAACAGGACACTCAGCACACAGTCTATCCAGCTGTACAACAACCACCGCAAGTACAACAACCGCCCGCAATTACAACAACCGCCGCAATTACAACAGCCACCGCAAGTACCACAGCCGTCGCAATTACAACGACCGTCGCAGGGCGAGCAACAAGAGCAGTATAGAGTGAGACAAGGCGTCCAGAGCCGTTCCCAAACAATAGAGCCACAACAGCCGCTACACATGAGCGGTACGCTGGAAGGGCCTCAGCATCGACAACTGTGGGAGCAGGCCGCGCAGCCGCAACAAGGGCGTGCGCAACTACAGACACGGCCGCCAGCGACTGCATATCGCGAAGTCACGCCATTTCCGCAACAGCCAACGAACCGCGTCCCTAACAGACCACCCGAACTACCATACGACCCGTACAAGACGCTACCGCCGCGATGGTCCCGCAACGATCGACTCGACGCTAATACGATCACGCAGTTCTCTAAGCTATGGGACAATAGCAACAAGTATACAGGGAATGCGTACGATCTCCTAGACGATAAGATCAAGATCTTCTTCAGCATCTGCTGGCAGGTAGATATCCAAGAAGAGCAGTTTCACGCAGTGTTTCCCCGTATCCTTACCGGGCGTGCAGAGACATTCTACATACAGGTTGTAGAGAGAGATGACAGCTTTGCTGATGCGTACATGGCAATCAAAAACCACTTCGACCATGACGTCCATCACCAGCACTACTACACAGACTGGACGACTACAACCTTCGCTCGCACCCGCACAGAGAACCCCGACAAGGGACTACACGAGGTTCTGCAGATCCTGCTTGACAAGCTGCAGCTATGCCAGCGTGCCCTTGGCAAGAACTTTGAGGGCGAGGATGCCCTACGTACCACTGTCATCAATGCCTGCCGAGGAGTACCAGAGCTTGAGATGGCACTGTTCAAACCAGCCACAATCTGTGAAGGACTCTTCTGAGACCTACGTTCTGCAGTTGAGACACACCTTGCACGGCAACACACTACCCAGATGGTCACAGAGGACCAATACTACTTAGATCGCCGATACAACGGCAATGGAAGAATCCGAGGTGGATCTCGAGGTGGAGGAGGATTCAGAGGCGGATCTAGAGGAGCATATCGAGGAGGCGAGCAGCGCGACGACAACGGACGAGGATTTAAGCCTCGCTGGAGGAAGAAATGCTTTGTTTGCCAGAAGGAAGGATGCTGGTCTACCAACCACACAGACGAAGAGCGCAAGGCTGCCCGTACACAGTTCTTCTCTACGCTATACTTTACAGGTACACAGCCCCCCAAGGACTTCTCCGTACATCTTGCAGAATACGAAGGGATCGAGCACACTAGCCAGTACAATCAGAGAGGCTGGAGAGAGGAGGAAGACGATGACGACGTCGCGGAAGCATACCTTGAACAGCAGTTTTTCACGGAGCAATGCCTTGCAGATCAGGCGTTCTTGCACCACATCTCTGGCGACGACGTATACCGCCAAGACGCGCCATCAGCGCCAGCGTCACAGTTCCTGCTTGAAGACCGCTACACAAGATCTGTGTACCAAGGGATCCTACCGGATACAGGCGCTGCCAACGTATCCACAGTTGGCAAGGAGCAGTACCTTGCACTCACAAGGGAAGATCCTACAGTTAGGATGGATACGTCTACAGCAGGAAAGGCATCTATCAAATTCGGCAAGGGCGAGGCTACATCATCTATTGGCACTGCACAGGTCTCTACAGACATTGGGACGATCAACTTTGAGGTGCTTGACGCACCTACACCATTCTTATTGTGC